AAGACCACTTGATTTGTTCATCAACCTATTATTATAGTTTAACAGTATAAAGTACCCATCATACAATCGAGAAATATATATCTTTCAAAACCATGGGCACAGTGTCAAAGATTCCAGAGAGTATGATGTGAAGATCATCTCAGATTGATGGAAAGTTTGAAATTGTAGATAACAATATCTCAAACTGTTTGTTTGAATCAGCTTATTTTCTGAGTGACCTGAAAGTGCTTGTCCAGCTGGCCTAGAATACCCAATCTTTTCTCGTTGCATTGGTGGTTATTGCACTTGACTCTGAGAGCTCCCATTTCAATATCAGTATGTGAATAATTCAAGAGAAAGTGAAGGCATGTGTCATGCCTTTCTAAAAATGACATTCTCACACCAGTTGGCCTCATTTGCCTTGTAGTCTTGGTAGGCATTATCATTGATACCTCTTGCATCACAAAATGTTACTTTTATAACAATATTGCTATATTGATTAAATTTAGTATTTGTGCTTGTTACTTAACTACCATGTATTTTAACTTGATTAAAATTAATATTTTTTTGGGACTCATCTTGGATCCTAAGTTGAATATGCAGGAAGGCACTAGCTTGTGTGAGTTTCAAGCTTGAATGCCCATCTTTGGCATTAAAACCATTCAGTTGATTGCTATGTATCAAGGCAATAGACCTGAGAACAGCAATGACATTTATATCACCTGACAACCATGACTGAGTTGCATCCCATACACCTAAACTCCTAATTATCAGCTTCGATACATTAACCCTAGCACCCAGGCGAATCGTACATCCCAGACCTATATTGAGTCATGGTGATTGTGCTTCTGGAGATGATCACATTTGGAATGGCAAAGTGGTCACCCTCCATGACTGCAAAGTAGCACGTTTCAACATCTGATGTGGTAGGAATGATAGGCTCCCAAATATGGAAGTTTCTATTTTGTGTATGCACTCACCTCACCACAGTATTGCCAAAATGTTGACACGACAAATATAAAATACTGGGATAGTAACAATCCTTAAGCTTGAGTGTGATTGCTGTGGGTCATGAATATGGTCATAATCGACATGAAGTATGCTCCTATTTGGGGGAACTTACTTTTGCATAGCTCTTTAGGTATTGATTAATATTTTGCGTGACCGACGTAAACCCCCTCTATCCTGACTTCCTGTAGTTGAGCACAAATCACAGAACTGCCAATTTCTGGGGAAAAAATTATTTAGCCAAAAAGCCCTTTTTAAGGACGCCCATACCTCGCGCGTGTGTAAATTATGCCAAGTACTGATGGGACACCCCACAGAGAAAACAAAGAAATGAATAATGGGCAAAATGCCTTTCGGTACCATCCAGCCTTGAACCTCGAAGGAGGGAGAGGTCGGGGCCGACGAGCCTTCCACGCCCCCCGCAAGGCTGTGGGTTCCATGCATCCGGCTTCCCGTCCAAGGAATTTCCGTTCTCTCGTGTTTCGATGATGCGATTGGCAACTTTTCCTGTTTGTACAGGGAGGCTTCGGGCTTCTCTAATGGGGATCTCCCGGTCAAACCGGAAAGGTTGGGAACCTTAATCAATGATCTACCATGTCGATGCGTCGACGTTTTTCTAAACTGTCCTCGTGACGGCCCTAAATATACTTGACACTCAACAAGGCATGTCGGGGGAGGGGGTTGTTTGTTTCTGTGTGGAGTTATTGTAACATGCAGAGAGAACATTTGCGTGAGGCGAGTTTATGGGTGCCACGCTTATCGAAATGGGTCTAGAAGTTCTTGTTCTGAGGTGACCTATGGATCTTTTTAAATTGACTGCGTTCAGTCCATAGGATATTGAAAAAATCCCACACTTCGTAGGAAGGTTGTTCCAAAAATTTTTTGCTCGAGTTGAAGGCGCATGAAGCGCTCTATATGTGCAGTTGTGGCAGGGATGGGGGGGAGGGGCACCCAAAGGTCACATCCTATGGAGAATCCACACATTCCATCATGTCTTCTCCTTTAGTTCTCAGTTTTGGTGACAAGGGTAAAAGCAGATTCGCCAATCATGAACGTGCGTCTTTTGTGAAAGTATCCGTACTTGTGAATTTTGGATAAAACTTGTAGGGTGGCAAAATGCCTTTCGATCTAATGTCCTCTTCTCCCCTCATATTTACAGCTTGTAAAAGTCTCATTACGCCCTCCGAATAAATCAAAAGTTGACAACGAGTACGCAAGAACACGAAATCGAGACATTTCCCCCATAAATACTGAAATGGAACTTTTCCCCTATGCCAGCGATGCTGTTTCTGTGTTTTCTTAGGATTGCCCCACGTTTACTCGTAGACTCGAATATAGATTGAGGTAGCCGTGATGTAACGAAATCGATGGGACTCTCCTTGAGCAATCACGATGGCGAGTTTCTCTTGCTTCCGTGCACATCTCTCGTCATGAAAAAATGCGCTTGGAATTAAGTCTATTCTGGGGGATGGGGGAGAGAGAGGAAGAAGGGAATGGTACGGTTTGCTTTTATGGATGCGATTCCACACGCTTCTTACTCTGTTTCGTTTTGGACTTGTAGCCATCGTCTCTGTTTTCATGCTTTTCATACTGGCACGTAATGGTACTTGGATTTTCATCGCCTCTTGTCATTCGACCGAGATAGGTTTCACGGTTCTCTCCCTTTAGTTTTAGATTATTTTTTTTTAGTTTTTGTTTCTGTTCTAGTTTTTCTGGATCTAATACGAGTCTCTCGACGGTCGGATCTCGGCACGACCCAGTCGAAAGCGACGAAGGAACGTCGCATGCCACGCTCTGATACGCGAAGAGTCTAAAAGTGAGAAACGCGAATCCAGACCGGAACCGAGAAGGAAGTTCCTCGTCACGCCCCCGAATATGCGTTATCCCGATTCCTTCGTACCACTCCCATCGCAGTGCGTCGTGGCCCCCTTTCCGGTACCAGTACGGCTAAATAGCGTTTTGAATTTATGGCGTTGCTCTTGCGATCGAGGCTTCATCGGTAAACGATTTAATCCGTGTTTCCCGATTGCCGCGCGCACTTTTTCCTTGATGCCCGAAACCGATAAGAGCGAGTCTCTTTTCGTGTCCTTCATCGTACCCTTAACCCCATTGCCCATCTGCGTACAGCTGGTTTGAAAAATAAAAAGGGAATTCCTGTAGTCAAAATGGATCCTTTTCGTGGTGCGCGGTTCTCACCGCTAACGCATGCGAAAGTTTTCATGCTCGCTTCGATCGTTTAATTTATGCTTCTCATCCCCGTGTGCAAAGGGTCGCGTAAAGGGCCTCTTTGCCTGCCGAAGCAAGAAAAGCTGCTGTCCAGCTTTATCAATGCAATATCTTTAGGTTTGACATTTCCCGTTCTTATGACACTCGGCAGGGGTATTGCGTCGAAGAGGATCGATGAACATTCTTCTGTTTGTTTATTTTTGGACTTCTCCATCTTATCTTCGTAATTTCTCTGGTGCGCAAATGGACATCTGAGTGTAACATCAGCAGTATATGGGTGAGGTGTCACACACAGGTGAAAATCATGATGAGCGCAATTGGACACTGTCCGATGACAGATACAAGAGGAAAAATTAGCTTATAAATAGTTCATTCTTTCACTAATCGGTTATATTGTGTTGGGAATTCCATGATGTTTTTGCTGAACACAGGGATAGTTGGGGAAAGTGGATATAGAGTATTAAAAAAAAATCCTGAGAAATTGTTCAACTTTCTTGAATGTCTGCGGCTGAATTTCACAATGAATTGCTTGCGAAGGCTTTAGACGGCGAAGTTGAGGTACGAGAAGGCAAACTTCGTTTCCTTGAATCCAGATTTATTTTTGTCTGAATCTCGATGCGGGGCGAAAGGCCTCTCCGGGGGCGTTTCCCCCCGACGTGGGCTCATGTCCTGGTCGAGCGGGACGTGCACGGGCACGACCCGAGCCGTGTGTGTTCCCTTTCTCTCACGCTGCGATGCGGGACCGGGCCGCGTTTCTGTCGGCCGCCGCCGATTTGGACGTGTGGCAGGCATCGCATTTACCAACGGTATGTTCGTGCATGGGAACCATCCAGGCCCGGTCGCACGATCATGATCGTCGCAGTCGATACGGTACGGTAATACTGCCGTGGCGACCAACTCGAAATTCTCTTCAATCTTTCGAATGCTTGCAGGCCCGCTTATGCCCCGGAAAACTTTTCCTCTCAATCGATCGATCTTTATTGCAATGTGCCTAAGTGCAAAACCGTAACAACGATCGTGCAAAAAAGGGGCAAATTAATTCCTTAGCTAGTCATGATCGTTGCAGAAGAGGCCGAAGAAGCTAAAGAGAGAAACAGGAGAGCAATCTGTATAAACATATGCAGACAAACAAGCAGTAGAGTGTCATTTGTTGTTTTTTTGTTCGTGGTTGTATGAGAAAAGTCCTTCGACGCAGTAATCGCTCTGGATCGGACCGTTGTGGTATTCTTCAATTGCCTCGCATGTCCTTTCGAAGGCTTGTTTGTTGAAAGCGAGAAAGTTACTTTCAACTTACGTTGATCACACGTACACCAGGGAAGCAAGTTTTTCACTTGAAGTGAAAGCAATAGCAAGTTCTTTTCCTCGCGCGCTTTCGCTCCAAAGTCGTATTCATTGATATACATCCGATAAATTGTATCATTGCTGGCGTGGCACGACTCGAGACGAATTGTATGAATCCATCATCGGTGACTGGACGAAGTAGTGAAGGGAGTACTAGACCACGTCCCTTGAACCGGTTTGAAGCGAGGGAAACGCTCGCCCCGTGGCAGTATTCCCGTCGTCAATGACTTCGTCCTTGGAACGGGGTTTGGGGGAGGCAACTGCGGAGCCCTTTAAAGAACCACTAACGACTCTTTTTTTCTCTCTCTTTCCTTGTGTGACGATGGCAGATGCGATGCAGATGAATCAAAGTGAGCAAGAAGACATACTCTAACAGAAGGAAGAAAATAATAATAATAATAATAAAGAATGGCTTCATCGAACATGCTATTTAGTTTACTCTTGAATGCCCTGAGCATCACGAATCATCTAGTCTACGACGAGCTGACCAACGGCTCCCTGGCCCAACACATCCGAACTCGTAAGACCCTCCCCCCCCCCTCCCCCTACCCCCTGATTCCCTGATGCTGACGAGTGTCATCCCTTTGCAGGAGAAGACGTGATCCATGCATCGAGTCCTCGCCCCTCGAGTCCGCCTCTTGCACCTCCCCAGCCCCCGACCACAGTCCCCAGCTCGACGCCTCTGCCCTCGGCCACCCCCATCTACTTGGAGGACGAGGGAGTCCCGGTGAGTCCTTCTTTGCAGGGAGGCACTCGGGGAATTCAGTCGCTCTGACGAACACAAGTTTGAGATGCTGAGGGCGGTTACGGATTATCAGCTGTGCTAAGCGAAGCAAGACAGAGCTAATAATAAAGTATGACTTGAGGCACTCCTCGGCAGGATATTATTTTCTAGTCGGGGATTTTAACCCGTCTCAGGTGGGAGGACCGGAATCACTTATACTAGACGATAAAAAGCGTACTGAAAAACCCAGTTTCGATGAAGAAGTCTCGTGCTTTGAGGAAGCGTGAGGCAAGAATGGCCCATTCAGGACATGAGCAAGAAGTAGGTCGTTTTCGGTTCCTCAAGCAAATACAACGACTCCATTGTTTTCGATGCCTAATTTTCTTCCATGCTTTGTGACTTTTTCTGTTTGCCCACTTGCGAGAATCGCTGTAAGCCATGTGACAAAAATAGAAATTCTAGAACAGCATCCCTAAGTCTAGTTTGACATGTATGCATTCCTATTTCGTTTTGTCCTGGGTCTGTTTATTATTCACTGAAGCGTTTTGTTTCTAACCCTGTGTTAGCGACACGAATGAGCTATTGCCCCATATACCACTAGATAGCACGTTTCCTTTTAGCTCGCTTTTACATGCTTCTCAATTCTTTTAGTGAAATCCTTTTCCGTTCATGAGGAATGCGTTGCATTTGGGGAATTGCGGTGTTTCGTTCCTAAATTCGTCAGTGAATTCCGTAAAGTTATAGTCAAGAACAGGCAAGAAATTGAACTATTGCTGTATGGAAATCACTTCAGGGAGTGGAGTGAGAGGATTTTTGGTTTCTCTTGTGGTTTGGTCGGGGGTTTGAGGGGTGAGAAAGAGGGATTGCCATTAGCCGAGCCTGAACCATCAGAAATAGAATAAAATCCCGCCTGCAATCCACTTTGAAGTATTAAAAAAAATTAATATATAATAATAATAATGTTAAATATAGATAAAACACCGTTACAGAAGCTATGTAATACTGGTAGAAGCATCCTCGGATGTTCTTCCTGTTGCCACCGAAGTTGAACCCAATCTGCTTCATTGGATTCAATAGGTGCAGGCATTCTCCGTTGGTGCAAATGCAAGACATCTCCATGCTAATTGTGCCATGGACTTTCGTACCTCCCCCCTCCCTTCCCTCCCCACCACCAATGCACTTCAACAATTTATATTAAATGTTTTGATTTAGCTTAGCACAACTGGTGCGGACTTCGCGGGATATACGTATTTTTTGTGCGTTGGTTCCTGTATATGGACAATTCAGTGCGATTCAATTCGATACAATGCCTGTGGGGCTTGGCCCTCGGTGACGTATCCAAATGGGGCCTGAATCATACCCGGCGACTGCCTTCCAGATGATTCATATGTTTATATTACCAAGTTGCCAGAGCTAGGAGCTTGCGAGAAGATGAATCGCATGCGAAGAGAATTTGAGTTTTATTTCCTTCTTTGAGTTTCCATTCTCTTCGCTCCTTTCCTCTACCCATATAGAGAAATAGATCAGCTTTTGTTCATGTTACTGCCTCTATCCATCTTCAGCTTTGTCAAGTGACCATTATATCCCAGATAAATTTGTATGTGTCATTGTGGTTGGATGAGGAAAACCGAGGACTTGTGCGAGCTGTGCATTCTGGAAATTCATTCATCGAGTACGTAATTCTCCAAAAATCCGTCAGCCAACCGCCATCGCAAAGCTCTCTTTAACTCTTCAATCACAAATAGATCAGGAGAGCAGAGATGTCATTTCGCGCTCTACAAGGTGGGGGGGGTTGACAACCTCAGCCTCCCCGAAATGGCGTCCCTACAGGATAGGATATAATTCCCGCTATTCTTTTTTTCATTTTTATTCATAAACCCAGGGATAAAGGGTTCCTTTGAAAGGAGTGAAAGGAAATTCAGCAAAATTGTGAGGGATGTCGGGGCCATTCAGAATGTGGAATAATGTGGCCATGAACCTCCCTCGCAAGTTGTGACTGACATCACTGCTGGAGGGCATTTTCCCGCCAGGTTGAGCATCGGCTAACTCGCAATTACAGGAAGCACGCTTAGGGGCTGTCTACAGACCTTGTCAGACTATTAATATTAACCCCAGCAATACCAAGTTTTTTTTTTCGGAGTACCAAGGGGCTTGGAGGCTCAATGTTCAAAATTAATTAATAACTACGATTTTGCATATATGGCAATTAATTACTCTATTTGCAAATTATAATAGGGGTACAAAAAATATATATATATATTTACAAACTAGGCTGATATCTAAATTTTAACATAGGAAGAAAGATAGGGAGGGGAGGGCCCTTGGAACCCCCCCCCCCCCCTGGTATTGGTATGGTTAAGCAGTCATGCAATGGTTCCAGTGCTTTGGAGGAAAGATTTTCTGCATTTGTGACCCCATTGGGCACCAATTGAGTAGAATGCAGTATTCAGTCAATATATTTTAGTAAGAAATTATTTGACATGGATCAATCTTGTGGTCAATTTTTTTGCATTTGTAATGAAAATGTCTGTATCCTCTTCATTGTAATTATGCATATCTGATTTCAAGGATGTTATTTTAAATATTAAAGAAATTTGAATGACATGAATGGAAGATTCCTCTGAATCACATCTAGTATTCATGCATGAGAGAGACTATGAAGGTTAGTCAGCCTTGGCCAAGAAACACTGCAAAGCCAACAGGCATGTGTTTCTTGAGAAACTATTATACTTGCATTTAGTTCTCCCCACAGTGGCGACTTCTTGCCAAGGAGTTTCTGAGAAGACAGGGAAGAGCTAGACTGAATTCAATGTTGCTGATATGCAGTCAGTCCTTGACATCATGAAGAGAATGCAAAAGGCAAAGAAATTAGCTCAAACAATGATATGAATTTGTGGTTTTTGCTTTGAATGTTCTGTTTCTCATTTCAAGTCTGCCACAGCTAATTAATAAGAAGTCTATGAAGGGGAGAATTTATGATGCAATGTGGCAATCCAGATTATCTGGATTGCCATATTGCATTATGTACTTGGGTTTTGAAAATGTTTTGATTCAACCCTATGCATTGTTGCAGCCCATGGGGTATTCCTTTTCAATTGTTTCAGCAAGGAGAAATTATATGGTACATGATAGCATGAAGATGTTCTGATTCATTGATTTATTTGCTGATTCATTTATTTATGCAATTGATTCAGTCATTGATGGATCTTGGGAATTGGTCAATAGAGCGACTTGTTGCCATACCTGGAGCAAGGGCGAGCAGCGATGGGCGAGTTGAAGGTATTGTTTGGCCTTCGTCAATGGCGCGAGTATTCCAAAAAGGATGATTCCATTGTCCGCTATGTTGATCATCCCAAGTATAAACGCCGCATATTCCTCACAGAGGTATGTCCTGTTAGCTTTCAACATCTTCTTTCTGTTGCTTACTCTGCTCATCTACAGTACATTGTGGGATTATTTTATGCTTCTTAAAGGAATTGAGTTTTTGCTTTTTAATATAAAGAACTGTATAGTGGTTTTTGCAGCTTATGAAGTTTTTTCCAAGGTTCCATATGGGTAAAATATTGACTGCATCTGATGGGCTGGAAAGGCAGTATTGGTACCATTATGCAAAGGAATAGTCTTCTCATGGTGACATGGTTCAGGAAGTATTGTATTGACGAGCAGAGGGTAGAGCCACTTAAAATCAATTTTTATGCAATTTATAAAGACAATACATTGTGATTCAGCGAGTGATTTTCAAAGTGCCCTTAAGTGTAATTCCCTATGAATTACTGCATTAGACTCAAGGACTTGGATCACACAAGAAGCAGTTTCATTCCATGAGTTCCTATGCCTGTTGCATGAAAAAAAAATAAAGATTAAGATATGAAAATAATGATACCAGAGGCCCCCCAATACCTGCTTTCAAATCTTACAAGTCCCATTGGCTCCTGACTCAAAGCTCCATCAGAATGGGTTGCCCATATCCTGAAACATGTCTGTTTGCCAAAGACATAAAATGTGCTTTCTGTTCTGTACCAGGCAGTGATGCCAATTGAGCCACGTGAGCTTCTTCGAGTGTTTTGGGAGGAAGGTGATAAGATGGAGGATTGGAACCCTACCGTGGAGGATGCTGCCCTTTTTAAGGTACGTTTTTGCTTCTCGGGACTTTCTGGCCGGCCTCTCTACGTAGTAGATGGCAATCTACTTTGGAGGGGGGATGACAGCTGATAACATTGTTAGGTGTTGGTTGGATGTGTCTTTCATGTACGAGGTATCATCATGAGACAGCTGTGGCACTTTGATGCAATGCCTGGAAGAGAAAGTCGAGAAACTGCATAGGCAAGAAGGTAATGTAGCGCAGAATCTTGTGCGCAAGAAAATTGTTTCTCTGCCCCTACCATTAACACATTGGCTGTCATACTGGATGATTATATTTTTGATAAATTTTATCAGAGTATTGTGCATACAACTCACATTTAGAATTACTCCAATTGAGTAGTATTTAATCGTTTCCATGGAATTGGTCTGACAAAGAAAGATATCTAAATAAAAAACCCTTGGCAGTGACTTGATATAAACTAGACTAGATGCGTTAGACGCATATCTTTACGGGGAAAGTCGGACTTGAGCAGGAGTGACTTGCATCCTTGTTAGACACACTCGGTTCTCTTTCCTCGTTCTCCTTTGGCAATTATGTTTATTTTTATAGCGACCGTACAGCCATGTCGGCGTTGGATATCTCCAACAAAGCCTGTGTTGCAGAAAATAACAAAGGGAAGCCTAAGCAACGAATCGGATTCCCGTGTACTGTCCCGGTAACCTTACGAGTCCCACCCCTCTCGGGCCTCGGCGTTGTCGGAAGGAAATGAAATAAATGAAAGTGCTTTTTATTTTAATTCCTCCAGACGGCTCCCCCGTTTTTTCCCCCCTGAAATCCTGGCGAAACACGACACTCGAATGCCATCTCCTCCCTATGATGTGTCGATGTTGGTTAGTACTTCACGAGCAGGGGTAGAACCCAAAAGCCTCCGTTACACGGAACAGGCCTAGGTGTAGCGTCGAGAATTTGGAATCCGACGCTAGAAGACTTGTTCATTTCCATTCACCTTCCGTTCGTTTGCATGGGTGCAACCTGGTGCGCGTCCCACGAACGATACCCAGCCTCGTGTAAGGATCACCTTTAAGTTCGAAGCGAATGAGGAACGGGTCTTCCCTCCGAATCGGTGGTTCTCGTGTTTGCCAGCCACTCTCTGGGCATCTGACGTTATGATACTCCTAAGTCGTCCTTGTATAGGGTTGCTGATGAGCTTTCCTTTCGATTGCTTTACCCATGAATTGTTTGAGAATAGCCGCTCCAGATCAATCGGACAGGATTCGATTATACAAAGTATCTACGATGCTCTCATTGTATTAGTTGATTAATAGATTGATCCATATAGAATGATGCGTCTCTGATGAATGATGCGATGGAGGATGCTTGATTACGTGATTACAATCTAATGTATATTATAAACTTAAGCATATTATAAACCAGCTCTGGGCTAATGTATTTTCTTTTTTATCGAGTTTAGTGCAACATTAGTCATAGGTTCACGAGCAGAGAAGGGAAGCAACTGGAAAGTTCTAGGTTTCTTTTCCTGAATCTTTTTCATAGGAGACCTTTCAAAAAGTGATTTTCAATGACTCGTGGGTGACCAATCTCATCCCCATCATTTTCAGGTGACTATTATGAGAGAAGTAGAGTAATTGAGCTAGGGTTTTACGTTTTGACATGATGGTCATGGTACGCACACGGTAAAGAAAAAAAAATTGTAACACCATCAGGGATTTTTATGCCACGCATGAACGGTTCGGAAGAGGGGAGGTGTCGTCACTTTATTCACATGAAACAAATTTAAATATTGAGGAAAATTATTGATCAATTGAAGTATGAGGCGTGACGTCAAAAGAAATACGATGAGCAGACCCTTCTTTCCTCCTTTAGTCTGCCGATAAATTCTTGCAAACAGGAAGCGGCGGGCAATTTCTGGGAAAGGTTCCTCCCACCCAATGACTTGCGCGTTTGACTCTGTATAAACACGACACGTGATCGGAACTTTTTTCCCCGTCTGCTTCGTTACACAGAGTCGTCGTGTGCTTGCGTCACTCTGCAAATTTGATATGGTATTTCTACTGACGGAGTTAATGGGTCAAAAGGGAGGAAGAAGGGGTAGAAGTAAGGAAGAAGTGTTGTCACTTTTCTCATCGCATTCTGTCGCTGCAGCCCAATTCCCAGCCTTGGCTTCGAAATGAGGTTGATAGCAAGTTGTCTCCTGGTATCTATGTTATCAGTTAGATTCGACGCTGCACCTCGCTTGTGCTAGCTTGACGCCTTCACTGGCAACTCATGAATATGCGGCCATGCTCCTGAATTTTAACACGCTGACCGCCACATGACAAGCCGGCGTGTCACCGCGCTTGTTTTGTACCACGCCAAGGGTAAAATAAAAATGTGCATGGTGTGACACGCCAGCGTGTCATGCGGCGCCATAGGAAAGAATTCGCAAAACTCACTACCTTGGTGGCCAACGTGCTAATTTTATTTTATTAGCATTGAGGTTCCCTCTCTGACGACTTGATTTTCCATTTGGTTTCGATTTTGGCGCTTCAAAACAGGAATAACGAAGCAGCCCTACTTCGACACAGCCCGATCCCTATGGAACTGACTCGTAGATGTCATTTTCATTTGATTGACGTTACAAAATGTCAGTGAAAACACACCTGTCTCTCTCCTCATACCCTGGCGAATAGCAATACCAACTGAGTGCTGAAGCATTTTGAAAACAAAGAGAAAAAGGAACCCAGGCCCTTACTGTTGGGGTCTGATACAGGAATAGAGCCTCCTAAAATGATAGTGACGATATTTACTCAGGACATAGGGACACATGGGAAGGTGACGTATCAACTGGCAGCGGCGCAGTCGAAGCTGGTGACGCAGAGGGACTTTGTCAACATCAACTATTGGGAGAAGGATACGAATGGGACGTATTACCTGGTTTACATGGCCACGGAATGGCCCGAGATGCCTCCGACCTCCAACTTCACCAGGTGCGTGCTTCCATCTCTCCATCCTGTCCCTTCTCCTCTAATGAATGCTAGTGACTGGAGAGGGTGTCGTTTCTGGTTCTTTACGTTAAAATTGTCCTAAGTTGCACCAGCAACTATCACCAAAAAAGTCATTGGGGAATATGAGAAACCTGATGAATCCTATTTTCAGCATTCTGGTTTTGATTTCAAAATGGCGGTGGCCAAATGGGCCGATGAGTGAATTTGGATAAGGATCTATTTAAGGGTAATTTTCTCATCTCTCAAAAAGGAGTTAGTAGTAAGATAAAATGCAGGTTTGAGGAAGCCCCAAAGTTACTTATAACCTGTTTGATATTTCAGACAGTCTACATTAAAATGTAACTCAAGGATTTCTTTGAATTGGAAGCACTTCCATCTTTGGAAGTCGTTTGAGGTTGTAAGCAGAGAAGAGGCTTTTATGTCTGCTAAAAAAAAATAGAAGGGGAATCATACATCATCATACATTGGAAGTTGTTGGTTTCTTCGACAGGGGCGAGAACGGGCCGAGTGGGTTCAAGATTTCCCCATTGGAAGAGGACCCGAGTAAATCTCGCATCCTTTGGGTCTTCAACACGGAGTTTCACTTCTTTCTCCTGCCTGATGCCGTCGTGAACGCCTTCCTCCCGCCGTCCATGCACTCCTACATGTTCTACCTCCGCAAACACGTCCGGGAGAATATTTTATCCCGCCAATAGTTCATCTTGCTTTCTTTTCACCTCCATTTTTAACACTTAATCTAGTCATGATCTCTCATTTTCATCTTGTCTTCTGCTCTTTGAGTCTACGATTCGGTCTAGTGAATGGAAAACGGGACCGGTTTTATGCATCTCGTCTGATTCCTTGGGTCTCAAAAACTTTTTTTAATTATTGCCTGGCCTTCGTCTTCTTTCAATATTTTGTTTTTCAGTATGATTTATTAGATTGTTTATTAGATCTGGATAAAATCGAATCTCTTGCTTGCCGTGCTTTTTGGCGATTTTTAATGCACAATTTCAGACTCCGATTAGTTTTTTAAATCTCAAGCTTGGTTTATTGTTATCTATGCATGCTTTGAGCTTTCCATACGTGGACGTCTGAGAAGCTGAAGGATGGATATTTCGTCCATCTGGAAAGGATGGAAGGGGCTACTCCATGCAGTAAGGATGTTGGAGCTTTTCTATCCATAAAAAACTTGACACATTTTTGAATGGCTGTTCCTGACTGTTGAGCTTGCTGATTATTATTCAAATACTGAGGAGAGGCTGGGGACCCATGAACTCCTTTTTTATACTTAATGGTGTTACTTTTTTGTTTGTTTTTATAAGGAAAGGAATGAAACCACTGGGCACTAGTGCTTTGTATCTAACGTCATCTCAGGCATTGATGAAATTGGTATTTATAAGTTGTGTCCCAGCAAATATAATAAAATGCGAACAATTCTCAGTTGATACTGTTTGGATTGCAGCTGGATTTAAAATATATTCTGGCTCATGAGCTTCATCCTTGACATTTATGATATACTGTAGGTGGTTAAATCACTCAAGAAAGTGAGGATAGCAGGCCTTTTTCTTCCTCGGCCTCGTGGCCCACTTGCTCATTCGATCCTGTGTAGTCTAAACACTCATATTAGACCCCTAAAAAATTGCATGTGTTAAGGATTAGCAATTGCCCTTAGTTCATCAAACTGGTGGTAATGGTTGTATTATATTTAAGGAAGACTGGGATGCATTTTCGATAGCACTGCGCCTAAAATGCATCCAAGAAATATATTTTCAAGTCAAGAAAACTCATTGCCTCCCTATAACAGATAAATTTGCTCTGAGAATTTTAGCTGTGAAGTGGTATGTTAGACCAGTCTAAATCTTGGAATTGGCTCGTAGATGTGTCTGAAAGTATAATTTTTGTGATTTTGGGATTTCTGGTCTCTCCTGCTTGTCTTGTAAGTTACTTTCATCTGCAACAGAAAGGAAAAGCACTCATTTTAAATGAACGTTCAAATTCGAAAAAAAAAACCTTCAAAGTTGTCTTGATAAGAGGTCATTCTATTGGGTATTAGACTTCAAATTTTCTGAATTACGGTTGGCGAACTATGAAATGCTGTGAACAGTGTGGCATATGCCACAGCCTCTGAACTCTCAAGTTCTCTTACAAAACGAAATCTTATGTTCACATCAACGGAAGATGAATCTGGCCACACCCTGCATACTGATTACGTTGGATCAACACTTTTCATCGCACCCTGAGGCAAGTCGAAACCAGTGACAACAGGAGCACCGCTCCAACCAATTCCCAGAGAGTTCCCTCCCACACCTCCAAGAGACAGGGAGCTGACAGTCACTTTTGATTTTGTTTATGCACGTGCATGTGATCTTTTTCCAGTCGGTGAACCTTTCCTGGTCAGTGATCTTTCCTAAACCTATTTTCCTTTCCCTACTGTATGGGTGTAAAGGGGTGGATGATTGTAAGTTGATCTCTGGCTGAGTTCCATGATAATCGAATATTTGTACCTGTTGTGTCTTTTATTTCATGACCTATTCCACCGGCGGTGGAATACACTTGGAATCATAAGAATTGAGCAACATACGGACACGTTCGGAACGACCCTTCTTTGATTTGTTCGGAACGACCCTTCTTTGTTTCTTCTTGATTTGCACCCACTTCCTTACCATTAAAGATTGGTAATGAACTTGAGACGTTTATTGGTGGATTAATTTGATTTCACGGTCTGAACAGGGTGAATGAATTAGACTCCCACGCTATCGTCTCTCTTCAATAATTTGTGTGATCTTGC